TACCAGCACCATGATTCTCTGGGTTTGGGGTGGCTTCCCTGTCCGTGGCCCTGTCTCCAACGTCCATGCCTACTACACTATTGCTGCCATGACCGGCGGTCTTCTCATCGGTGTCTTCAGGCCTGGCATGGTTACCAAGTGGACCGCATACGGTGTTGCCTGCGTTGGTGCTGCCATGCTCACCTTGTATGAGCAGTGGTTCGGCTACTATGGCGCCTTGATCCTGACCACCTACCTCATGGCCGTCGCCGTGCCCATGATCAGCAAGGCTGCCAAGAAAAACCCAGCTGTCACTTTTGGTGTCGGCTTCCTGTTCTACAACCTCCTTGTCCTCTTCCACGTTTGGGTGGTCGCCTACGCTTTCGTCCCTGGTGGCCCCTACGTCCGCGAACACACCGATTGGATCATGCTTACCACTATGCTCACCATCGGCGCCGGTGTTTTTGACCTCGTTTCGGGACAAGCCAGCCATAAGTACGCTGCTTCCACCGACCGTCGCAGCTCTTCGTTCGGCCACCGCAAGTACCATGTTGGCATCCTCGGCCTCCTCAACATCCTTTTCCTCGTGGCCAACTTCCTCCGCTTCCCCTCGTATGACTACAAGCCCTACCACGCCGAAGACCGCCTCTTTACGGCCGGCATTTGGACTATCCACTTCTCGCTCGACAACGACATGTGGTCGTCCGAGTACCGCATGCGCGACCTCATCAAGGAGTTGGAGGTTGATGTCATCGGCCTTTTGGAATCTGATCTCCAGCGAATCATCATGGGCAATCGCGACACCACCCAGTTCCTCGCCGAGGACCTTGGTATGTACGTTGACTACGGTCCGGGTCCCAACAAGCACACTTGGGGTGCCGCTTTGCTCTCCAAGTTCCCGATTCTCAACTCCACCCACCATTTGCTTCCCTCTCCCGTGGGTGAACTCGCTCCCGCAATTCACGCCACGCTCGATGTCTACGGCTCCCTAGTGGACGTCTTTGTCTTCCACTCCGGCCAAGAAGAAGACCCCGAGGACCGCCGTCTCCAATCCGAATACCTCGCCAAACTCATGGGCTCCATTCCGGCCGACCGGCCCGCCGTTCTGCTTTCTTATCTTGTTACCAAGCCCCTGGAAGGAAATTACAACACGTACGTCTCCGACATTTCGGGCATGCACGATGTCGACTACACGGATTGGGACAGGTGGTGCGAGTATATTCTTTACAAGAATCTTCTCCGCACTGGTTACGCCCGCGTGAGCAGGTCAACCATCACAGACACGGAGTTGCAGGTTGCCAAGTTTATCGTGCCCAAAGACGATGCGGATAAGGGGAGGATATTGGCGGCGAGCAAGGAACAGAGGGATAGGAGGGTAGAAGAACAGCAGGTGCCGGATGGGTGGAGATTCCCGGCGCTGTTTAGGGGCGAGGGAGTCAGGGGGCATCATTATCATGTCTTTGATGAGCCTAGGTACTATTTTTATTTCTAGGGAGGGATAGGAAATGGATCCGCAGAGAGTGAGAGGAGGCAAACAAGGGGAGAGATAGGACATGGGCAGGAAGGAGTTTACTTGGGTTTATCTTGTCAGACAGGCCGGACGTTTGTGTGGTGACTGGGGAATGATTTGACGGGTCAATGATGGATGAAAACTCAGAAGCTGTTAGGGGATGCTGTAGTACCTAGGTAATTGTATTTTATGGGTTTACGGGTCATGAATCTAGGATTTGGCATTTCCGCGGTCGTTGGTGTGCCGCCGAGGTCAACTTAGAGTCCAGGAACTACTACATTTCCGAGCAGTACTCGTTTCAAGAAGTAGTCGGCCTTGAACCACTACTGCTTGGTAAAAAGGTCAGTTTACAAAACATTTTCTCAAGTTGCCATACCTCTAGGCACCTCTAACTCTAAGCACCTAACGTTGTAACATTGCACTTGCACATGGCTGGTGAGACTGACCTACCATGTCATGCTCCTAGGTCGTCAAGGACTATTCATCCTACCTTGGCCCACCTGTGGTTGAGACCATACAACACATTGGCGACAACCACATGGACATGTGTCGATTCTACGGTTTTGAGGATCCGGGATACTTCAAGGTCGCGGCAGCTTTTCAACGGATTCTCGAGGTATCTGTTGGCTCTAGCATCACCGTGCACAGTCTGCATCCGCGCAAACCCTTCGTCAGCTAACGGACCCTTGAACCGGATTGGTATTATGGCAGGCCCTAGTGATGTTGCGGCACGAACTTTCCAACGACTAGTCGCACCTCACACGCCCCTCGCCACAGATTGAAGCGTCGCCACAATGAGAAAGGAATATGGGAGCTTGCTAGGTCATGTTTGGCAGAACGAAGGGGATCCGGAGGCGAGATAACATAGTGAGTGCTGTTCATGTCCCACCCAACTTCTTAGAGAGATGCTTAATATAGGTATAGATGGACATTGTGTTTAACGAGCAAGAGGAGGTATGGTTCGCAACAAGGAGTTCTTTGGGGTCTTCGTTGCTGAGGTCTTACTTTCTCTTTATAAAATCTGTCTCTATCCAGTGGACTAATGCTATAAATTCAACTTCCCCTTTACTAGGTAGGTACCTTCCATTTATGCTCTTTTTACAACTCAATGATACCGATGGTGTAGGTCAGCGGAAAACGTAAGATTTGTCAATCTATGTAGGTAGTTTCAACTGCCATTAACATTGTCAAAGTTTGACCCTGTATAGTTATATGTACTCGTACCGTTACGGTAGGTCGATAGGTATTGTACGAAAACAAGCAAGCATGGACAAGGAAGGATTAATTTCGGTACTGAGATGCATAGTGCAACGAATAGGCCATGGAAGATGATCTTTTGGGGAACTGCAAGCGCACCAGCTTGGTAGGATATTCCCCTGCCAACCTAAAGTTTTCTTGTTCAGGTTCAGGACACTGTATTGGCAAAAATAAGTTGATGATTCAGTTTTGGAGGGTATTGTCAAGAGTCAAGTCATGACGTGCAAGAACAATCATTATCCCTTTCAACACAAAATAAGTAGCAAGGGGTAGAAGTATGCATAATAGTCATAATATTCATTGATCATCAGGGCATCTATCCAAACATAACCCATTTTCTCTTGGGCCGGACCCCATTCATCTCCTCCAAGGGTATATTCAACTCTTTTTAACACAACTTCAAACCCCACTCGAGAGTTATCCTCACCAGCCTCGCCATTACAGGCCCTTCTCGCCGACTATCTGCCCTTCCATCCCCACGGCTTCCTCCTCGTCCACGACCGACTTGGAAACAACACCATCCTCCCTGTCCCTCACACCGATCTCCGCCGTAGTAAAGGCATCACAGGTATCCCTGTACCACGGCCAAAAGTTGACGGCAAGCGCATACGTCCACGCCACAGCAAAGAAGGCTAAGGGGACAACCATACTCATGGCCGTATCATGCATATCCGCCACGGCGCCCATCAGCGGGGGGACCACAGCGCCACCAAAGACACCGGCGACAAGGAAGCCTGAGCCGCGCTTTGTGTGCCTACCGAGCCCGCGCATACCAAGCGCCATGATGGTGGGGAAGCAGATGGACTCGAAGAAGAGGGTGACGTAAAGCATGGACATGCCCGTGTTTTCTCTCTGGGTGATGGTAGGGGCGACGAAGATGATGCATGCAGTGAGGAAGAGAAGGAAAACCTTGCGCGGGCGGACGAAGTGCATGATGGCTGCGCCGGCGAAGCGGCCAACGGCGAATGTCCCCTGAGCACCAGCCAGGAACTGAGCTCCCAAAGCGGAATCGGTGTTCTTGCGGGTTTCCGTCACGTAGTTGATGAAGTAACCGGCAATGGCAATCTGCGCGCCCGTGTAGCAGAATTGGGAAAACGAGGCGTGGAAGAGGCGGTATTGTTTCCTGAATGGCTGGTCGGCATCGCCAGCATGGGTTTCAGCAGCCTGGTGCTGCATGTCTGCGTCGGTGATCTCGGGCAGTTCGATGAGGAAGAAGACGACGGCAAGGATGTAGACAAAGACGGCGATGGCCAAGTACACCCACTGCACGTTTTGGAGGGCGAGGTTATCGTCGAAACCGAAGAAGACGTACGATCCGAGCACGGGGGCTACAACGGTACCAATACCGTTGAAAGCTTGGGCAAAGTTGATGCGGATTTCCGAGTACTTGGGCGGGCCGCATACAGTGATGTACGGGTTGGCGGCAGTCTCGAGAGAGCCCAGACCGTTGCCGATGATAAAGATGCATACACAGAAGCCGGCAAAGGACTTGGCCTTGATGCACGGGATCGCGAGAAGGGCGCCGAGGCCATAGAGGAAGAGACCCCAGATGAAGACGGCACGGTAGCTGAAGCGGCGAAGAATGTAGGAGGCATGGCCAAGGGAAGCGAGGGGGTAGGCACTGGGGAGAAGAAAAAGTGGTTAGCGGAGGTGGTGGTAGGAGTGGGGGGGGGGGAGAGGAAAGACATACCCAAAGTAAGCGGCTTGAAGACCAGCAGATCTCGCCTTTGTAATGTGGAGTGTCTCCTGGAAGTGCTTGTTCAGGGTGTCGAGCAGGCCATAGCTGAAGCCCCAGAGGAAGAAGAGGATGGTGACAAGGCAGAGGGGAAGGAGGGATTCTCGGAGGGAGAGCTCGGCTGCCTTTGTGACCTTGTCATCGCGCACTCGCAAGGAGCGCCTCTTCCACCACTCTCTCGAGAACATGGTGTCGAGTGTCGCGGAGTGTCTTGTTGACTGGACTATATTGTCCGTGTACGGGTGGGTGGGACAAAAATGAATGGAGAGCGAAGTTCCAAAATCACCGACAGGGCATGGGACTGAGGTTGTTGGGCCTGGGGGACAAAGTATCGGAGGAAGGATGCTGTGCCAGTCAACAACGAGGGCGTCGTGGCAACATAGATATACAAGACGGATCCAGACTCTGTTGAGTTGCACCTGTTCAGCGATGCTGTATCTCTCCAGCCGGTTAAACAATCAACCGGGATAAAAGCAGGGCAGCCTACCTAGCACGAGCTGGGCTGCGTGGTCTAGTAGTCTAGCTAGTTCCATTGCAACCATTGTTCCGTGATGAGGAGGGTCCCGTCAGGCTGGGGACATGTTGTCTATCAACGGTGTCTAGCCAAATGGGTAGGCCATGTCCCGAGATATCGAAAGGTTCCCCACGGGACTTGTCGTCATGCCGCCTGCATTCTAGACTGATTCTAGCCCGACCTAACTGAAGAGGCTCAAGGTCAGCTGGGTTGTCTCGCGCTTGTCTCGTTGTCTGGGGATTTTGGGTCCCATTCTGGAGCCAGTTGTGTCTACGGGCGTCGATAGACCTCCAACATCGGGCCGATTCTGCATCTTTGTCCGGGGTTGTCCGGGGTTTTGTCCGTCGATGTTCTGGTTCTTCTCTGCCGGGGCCCCCTGGCACCCCCACAACACGGGGTAGGAGGCGGGGGAAAGGGGCATCGATCACCAGTAGGCAAGTGGAGTGATGGTGGTTGGTTGAGTTTGTTCGTGTTCGTTCGACGGGGCGAGGTGGTACTGTCCACCACGCATCTGGGGGGTTGCTGACCGCTTGAGAATGTGCTGTTCGTGACAAATAACCTCAGCAACAGTTCCAGGACCGGGAAAACGTCGGCTATGTACAGTGTAGAGGTACCTAGGTAGAGGTCGGTTGGGGGAGGGGGGGTTCACTTTCCATGCTGCTTGAGCCAACAACGAAGTGAGTCCTGGCAGTGATGTGAGAACTGAACTCATGGAACGCTGAGAAGCCCAAGGGGGGTCTGTGGGGGAGAGTCTCCATCGACCTACCCCATCTTTCACTGCGGGGAAGGAGGTGTCAGTGGTGGTACTCCCCCATGGGGAACGAATGGGGAAGGCATGTTTAGCAGGGTTAGCGCTGACGCCCGATGAACGCCGATTGGCTCACGGTTCAGCACGGGCCCCACGTCACCCCGAAGTTTGCCCGTTTCGTCCCCGCCATGCCAACTCCGCATTTGACATGCTGCCTTGGTACGGCTCGTTTAAGCATTAAGCTCACTGAGTAGAGGTACTGTAGTCGTCGGTTAGCTCGGTTACCTAGAGGTAAATCATGTAGGAGCATGGATGTGGATGCATTTGGCCAAACCAGCCATGTGGGGCCATCCTTCCGTTTGGGGTTCACTCACACCCAGCCAAGTGGAAGCTCCTGCCTGGAAAACGACTCGGAACCTTCCACTTCCAACGAGGACAGTCGGTTGGCTTGGCTCTAAGCGAGGGACTCCACCCCGTGCATCTTCAAACAAATTGTTGAGAGGGAAGGCTCAGGGCAAGGTACAAGGCAACCTCCCTTATCTCTTTCATCCCGCTCCATCAGCTCATGCTACCAACCACTAGGTGATTCCGGGAAGCCATCATTATCTCCCTCCCATCATGCTTGACCCGAACCTCAAATTTAAGTAACATATCAAATCCTGAATATGTTCTTCACGCCGAACAAATGTCAGGTCTGCCTACCAGGAAGTAAAGGCATCACTCGCTCCTCCAGTTTCTGTTTTGGTGATTCAGAGACATCCACGGAGATTGTACACAATTACAGTATGGAAGCATTAAAGTGGGTCTATCTGTCTAACCATTCAGGTTTCGAAGGAAAAAGGAAAGGGTAACGTACTGGGTAGGTAGACCACAGGAAAGAACTAAAGAGAGGGGGTATGGGGCACATCCTGCTAGGGAACATGGGGTGTAGAAAGCGAACCCCAACCGTGGTATCATCCATTACCAAACAGAAAAAAAAAAAAAAAAAAAAAAGAAGAAAAAGAAAGGAAGAGAAAGAAGCCAAACCCACATGAAGGACAAAAATCACCAGTTCAGTGACAGGACTCCTACTCCTTTTGTCCGTTGGATCCCTGTCCCCGTCTCTCTGCCTCCGACATCTGTCCAGCCATCCGTCCAAACTGCCACTCTGGCAGCGTGATGCCCGTCTGCTCATTGATGGTTGTCATCAACGGCGGCAGCATCTGGTAGATGTTCCTCATGGTCGCCATGCTGCTCTGCTGCTCGCCAGCACCACCCGAAGAGCCCGCCTCGGCGCCCGTGTTCCAGACGCTGATCTTGGGCTGCAATCCCCTGATAGCCTCAGCATTCGCCTTGGCCAGCTCGACATACGTGCCCTTCTCGATCATCATGTACTGAAGCAGGCCCTGAGGACCGCCAAACGCGTGGCTCATCTTGGCGTACGCCTCCGCCATGGCGCTCATACCCTCTGCCGCCCTCAGCTTCTGCTGGAGCTCCGCATCCGCCAGCTTGATGGCCGCGTACGCCTGCGCGTCGGCCCCGACCTTGGTCTCATACACGTCCGCCTCGGTGTGCTGCTTGGCCTTTTCAAAGTTGGCCTTGGCTTCCGCCTCGATCTGGTACACCTTGACGTCCACGCCGACCTTGGTCTTGTAGGCGGTCGCCTCGGTCGCCTGCTTGTCCTTCTCAAAGTTGGCCTGAGCCTCCTTCTCGATCTCGTACGCTTTGGCGTCGGCCGCTTGCTGCTTGGCTTCACGCGCGATGCTCGCCTTGACCACGTCCGTGGCACGGAGACGCTCCATCTCGGCCGCGGCGCGCTTGATCTGCACCTCGCGCTTGAGATCCTCATCCTCCGCCTCGGTCTTGCGCGCGGCTTGGATCCCCGCAATTTGCACGTCCCGGTCGAGCTCGACTTTGCGTGTCTTGAGGACGGCCTCGGCTGTCGCCTTCTCAATGTCCCGCTCCGTCTTTTGGACCTGCGTCTCGGCTTGGATCTTGGCCAGCTCGCGGTCCTGTTCTCCCTGGATCTTGGCAACCTCCCGCGCTTCTTCACCCTTGCGCTTCTGCGTGCCCACGTTACCGCGCAGCTGGGCTTCGGCGACGTCAATCCGGGCCTGGTTGGTTGCACCTTCGTGCGCTTTCTGGGACAGCGAGGCAAAGTAGGTCGATCCCGGAGCGTCCTTGAGCTCCTTGACGTTGGCGTTGTAAATCTTGAGGCCGAATTGGTCTAGTTCGGATTGGATGTTGCGGAAGATGCGTCGCTTGAACACTTCACGCTCCGAGAAGATCTCTTCCATGGTCATGGCCGAGACAAGCACACGGACTTCACCTTCGATGATGCCCTTGACGATGCCCTCGAGAAAGTCATGGTTGTTGGGACCCTTGTCGCGGCCCGAATCGGCCAGGAGCATGGCGAACTTCATGAGGGCATCGCCTCGGTCTTCGCGGCGAACTGCCGAGTCGGAGACGGCCGTGGCAACGTCATCTTCGTTGCTGGGCTTTCCGGGCTCATCATGGAACATGCGGATGTTGGCACCTCGCTGGTTGACATCGGGACCGACGGTGAAGACGACGGGAAGGAGAAATTGCAGCTTTTCTTTGGTCATGGCCTGGAGGCTCATGGCGTAGTCGTGGGGTTGCACGCTGAAGCGCATGCAGCGCTGGAAGGGCCAAACCCATGCCGCCTTTGTGATTTTGACTAGTGGTACGTGTTAGACGTTGACGTCGACGGCATTGTACCTAGGTAGGAGAGGTCAAGACAAAACTCACGGGTCTTGACACCCATGCCAGTGATGGCAAGGTATTCATCAGGAGCGGCAATCTTGTAGGAGGCCATCTTGTATGATTGGGCAGATATGCTCGATACTTTGGCTGGGTACGGGTTATCTCGGTGTAGAAAGGGTGATGTAGTACAGAGACGAGGAGGAGTTTCTATCTTTTTATACACCTATATGTATACGGACGGACATCGACCACATGCAGTTCGTTGCTGCTACAGGTCTGATGCAAGTGCTCTCCGCCTCAGGTGGCTCAATGATGGCCATGTGGTGCCTCTACTTGTTCGGTAGCTGATCGGGTATAGGCCGGTGACCGACCGCCAGACTGACTTGTCTACAGGGTTTCCCCATTCCGTTCACAAAGGCGAACAAAAGTTGTTGGTGTTTGCGGTATTGCACTGCCCTTTTCGCGTGGTAGGGTAGCAGAGTTCCGTTCGGACAAAGCGCCGGAAAATGGTCTGCTCAGAAAGCATGCCTACAAGGGCTGGGTTGTGATTGGTAGAGGCTCAGCCCTTGGCACTCGGCATGACTGGAACTGCAACATGGAACATTTGTCTCTTGCGGGTTTCCGCGCTTACCCTCCCAAGCGTCTGCACCTATTTGGACTTTCGGTACCCGGCTCAGTGGATGTCATCAAAATATAACTCGAAATCCGACGGTTTCCCGCAATGGTTTCCCGAACAAAACAACGTCCTACATACATTTCAGCTCTTCACCGAGACCACCAATTCGAGTAGGTATTGAGTTGCATTCAATGACCATTGCTTCTACTAACCATCTCGTCGGTAACAATTGCGGACACCAACGCGATCAGAATCATGTTCTGGCGCATGTGCTGAGGAAATTACCGCTAGAGGTGACTGAAGCACACCAGCCACTACGATTTTCCGCCCAACATCAGACTGCCTGCCCTGGGTAAGGTACTTTCCAAGGCACCGATATCCACCTCTATGAACCAACGCCGACTTTGAAGCCGTCTTTTATCTTCTTTACGCCTGTTTATCTTGGCGTAAGGGTTCTGATCCCGGCCCAGTGACTACTTCAAGGGCGGGCGCAGCCGCTGGCGACCCGGGGGGGGGGGAAAACACTAAAAAGAACCTTACTGGGGTTAGCGTCTGCCCAGATTGTGGCTGTGTCTCGCTTATAAGTTGTAACGTCGCAGGTACGACAATTCACTACTACATACTTCAACACTAAAACCACAAACAGCCAAAAGGTTGCCGTGTTTGGATGACTTTATCATCTTGGCAGTTGAGAGGTCATATGACATTTTCTCTCGCAGGCTTTGCTTTGTTCACAGACCACTCACGGTCAATCGTGTCCATTTCCCCTACCTACAACAAGCCTCTTGAATCTACTTCACAGCCCCAGGGGTAAGATCACAAGTTGATTCCCCATCAACAAGAAGTTTTCTAGGCTGAACTTGGGAAGTCGGGCATCAGACCATACGATACTACGAATCACGAGCGAGGAGCAACGCCCGTGACATCGCCATCGCCCCTCCCTGTGTTCTCCTTCTCCGGTTCCCAACCACCAACATCCAGCTGATCCGGGTTGCCGGCACCGAACCGGTTGAAGTTCGAATGACTATTATTGTGTCAGTCTAGAGGTAGGTAACCTTCAGTATTATCCATTGCATCGGTCTAAAACGCTCTTCGACTCTGCCTCTTCATCAGCCAGAAACGAGATACACATTGATCCCATCAACATGTCCAAGTCACCGCATGTTTCCCCCGACGTTAGGTCGTCCCTACCAGACCTCCTCCCTCCACCCTCCTACACCGAAGCCATCACGTCCCCCTCCGGCCCCTCTGGCCCCTCCCGATACGACACATCCTCCGTTCCGACTCCCACCCGAACAGGCGAATCCCCCCTAACCACTCACCTTCGCACCCTTCCTTCGCGCCTCCGCTCCGCTCAACACTCGCACTCAACGGCCCAGTCCTCTCGCGACGCTTTTCTCGTAGCACAATGCGTACCGTATATCGAGTGGTTTATCGAAGACGTTGTAAACATGCCCAAGACGCCCAAGGTGGCCGAATTGGTGCTGGTGCCGACGGAGGGGTTACCAGGGGTGGAGTCTTCAGAAGAAGCGACCTCTACGGGGAGAGAGCTGGCTAGGAAGAGGGCGGAGAGGGATGATAAGGGGTGGGAGTTGGTTGGGGCGAAGGAGCGAAGGGAGGAGGGGGAGGTGGTGAAGGTTGTTTGTGTGTCTGCGGCTCCTGACCAGGGAGGGCAAGTGACGGACGAAAAGGGGAGGACGGTGGACCGGAAGCGCACGGGGGAGGATTCAGGCTCAGGTTCGGCACCGGCCCGGCCGGGTGATTACACCTTCGGAGAGTGGGGCAGATTCGAGACCGGGACATCACCCTCCTCTTCTCGCTCTCAGTTCGGGCCCGAGGAAGCATGGAACTGGTTTGCTACCCCCACTCTCGCCCGCCGAATCGCCTCGCTACTACGTCCCGAACCGACTCTTGCCCGTAAAACCATCCAAGCAGCCGTCGAGTCACCCAAATCTCCAACCTCCCCTTCCTCCAAGAAGTCTGGTTTCGGTAGTTTCTTCCGCAGAACCTCAAAGTCTGAGCCGCAGACACCGACACCGACGGAGCGGCTCATAACACCTGTTAGGGACGGTGCAATGATAGAGCAAGATAGGATTACTATGACGGTTAGGGCGGAGGAAGTCACGTTTAGGAGGGAGAACGAGTTTGGGTTATGGGAGAGTGTAGGGGGCTGGGGTGTTGTTGTTTCCATCAAAGTGGGAAGGCTGTAAATTGGGCCCTGTCAACCTCCAAGTTGATGGCCAAATAGATGGCTGCCTGGTAATGTGGATGGAACAGGGCTATTTTGCGAACATAAATTTGGAATGATGAGTAGTTGCAAGATTCGTAGAGGTCGCCACACTTAGCTGCAATACAAAGTACCATACCTGTGTGAACTCATCATCAATGTTCTACTGCCGTGGATGTTAATCTCAGGCTTGGCCTACCTCTGTGATAATTTCTCCGACTTAGTTCGTCGCGAGCGCCGTGAATCCGTAACTCATCACTCATGACCATGTGCATTACTCATCAACATCAGACCTTCCCGTCCCGGCCGACAAACCAAGCCTTTCCCTTCAAATCCTCAATGACGCTGTCCCTGATCCACCAATTACCCCCTGACGCTACTGCGGATCCATGGCGGGATCCTTCACGCAGCTCATCCCAGTTTGGCACGCAAAGCTCCTTCTCTTCCTCGACAGATACCTTCTTTCCCTTGCCCTTCATACTCCTGGTCGTAGGCCCCTGCCCTGCGTGTCCTGCGCGGGCTTTACTCTTCCCTTTTGCAGTTGTCCTGCCCGCTGTCGTAACGTCGGCCGCCGCCGGTGTTTTGGGCAATGTACCCAATGCAGATAAAGCAGCCGAAACAGGCGAGTGAGCAGCCAAGGATTGCCGCCTTTCCATCCATTCGAACAACAACCGGAGACCTAGGAGTTTCTCTCGGCTCGGCATGCCACCTCCGGTCAGATCATTTTCAAGCACAAGACGTGCATCCACGAAAGTCGTGGCGCCTTCACCTTCGCCTACGCCTCCGCCAGAGCCAAGCCGGTCCATCACGACCGCTCTTTCAGCATGGGTCAGCTTTGCCAACTCTCCAAGCTCGTTGCTCATGCTGTGGCTAATAGCATTGGCAGCATCGCCACTCGTGCCATATAAGTCACTACCCTCAGCACCAGCACTAAGTTCAAAAACCCACTCAAACGGATCCTTCGGCTGCCCATCTTCTGCAACCGGACCCATCCCTCGCCCCAAAGCACGCAAGGTAGCAGGAAATGGTGCTTCGAGCGCTGGTCTCCTCCGCAAAGACAAAGTCTGGTTCTCCTTCAACTGCTCCACCAGGCTTGGGTCCGTTTCAAAGTCGATGGTCAGATTCCAGTAGCCCTGCTGCCCAGCATCCGTCGTGACGCGTAGGACATCGTCCAGGGGTGGCAGCAAGCAAGGAGTTTGGCGGCGGATGACAACACCGTCCGATGAGGATTCAAAGGGTGAGTCAATGGCAGAGTTGGCCGCGGCGGCGCGGGCTGATGGACTGTTGCGTCTCAGAAAGATGAGAACGGGCACGTTCAGACTCTGCCCAGTGGCTCCATCCTTCGCGACAAGGCAGCGCGGGTCCGTGGCCAGCACCCAAAAATGGCGGAAGGCTTGCAAATGAGCTCTGTTATCCTGAACAGTTGCGGGGAAGATGGGATAGAAAGCTACAATCAGCGACGCGACGGCAAGGTCACTGTTGCTAAAGGTAGCGGTGCCGTAACCGAGGAACAAGGCTCCGATAGCCATATGACAAGCCATATGACTTCCGTACGTCGTTTCCTTGTCATCTCTCCCATGTAGCGCTCGAAGTCGGCGGAGAATCACCAGATCGCCGGTGCCCGCCATCACCGTTGCGCAGGAAAGGGCTAAAATGTCCATGCACATGCGCGCATTTGAGCGAGCAAGCTCCGCGTCAAAATTACTCCTCGGCATGGAGACGAGGCGCATGAATTCATCCAGGTAACGCACAAGCAGGTCGCGGACTTGGATATTCCCGGACCCGGCGAAGCGCAGGCCCAAAGCAAAACAGAGACCGGCAAGGATGGAAAAGAAGGGGAGATCCTTGCTTTGTAGACAGATAGTAGACGTCAGGCGGTAGCGGGGTTGGTACTCCCTTGGTAACCCTTCTCTGATCCAGGCGAAGGATGGTGTGATGCCCTTCCAAAGGATTATATGCTTGGCCATTGTGCGGAGAAGTAGGATGTCAGGGCGGACATAGTCAAACTGCACCACGGTGTCAGGGACGTCGATCTTGCGTGCCACGATATGATCTTCCGATTTCATGAAAATCAAGGCAGCAGCAACGACGGCGGCGGCAGCGGAGCGGTCGAGGACATGCACAAGTTCGACGCGCTTGGTGGCCGTGGCGATGGTGAGCAGCTTCTCCGTGAGACGCATGTCGCGCAGGCCTTTGAGATCATTGCCTTTGCCGAGGTTGATGAACCCCAAAGCGAAACCGGCGGCGAGGCGGTAAGATTCGTCACGTAGAGGGTCTTCCTCCTCGCCGTCTTCTACATGCTCGATTTCCGACATCATGATTTCGCTCATGCGCCGGTGTTGGCTCTTGCAGTAAAGCAGACCGATGCCCATAATGCCGGTCGTTTGGGTGTGCTTGGAGAGGTTTAGTTCCGCAGCACCGCGGGGAAGCATGCGAGTGACGTGGACAGACAGCAGTCTGGTGATGAGAGAGTCCATGGTCCCGATGTACGAGGCGGCGAGACCGAGGAGAAGGCCGATCGAAGTCATGGTGTGCTTGGGGGTAAGGTACTTAAACGCCACCCACTTGGCCACTGACTTGAGATGACCATTCAGACCGAGGGCGAGCAGGAAGCCTGCATGTCGGTTGCTGAGGTCCTGGCCGGGCTTGTTGTAAAGGATCCAAGAGGTGTCGATGCCTTTGGCTTGTGGCGATATCGCAAGCCCACCGGCAACGCCTTGATGGAAGAAAGCCCAGTTAATCTTTTCTTCAGTGAACTGACTCTTGTCAACACTGACGGTGTTGTTGGTAGGCCGGATGATGCATGCAAGATTGAAACCACTGATGTGATATTTTTGCGTGAGGAGCGGGTACCGCAAAGAATAGTACAGCAAACCACGTCCAGGTGGGATAGCAAGCGTGCTGGTGGCAACAGTGGTAACCAGCTCCTTTTGCTTTTCCAGGTACTCTGACTCAGACCACTCTGGCTTAGGATCAAGCCGCAGAACGCGTGACTTGCCCGAAGATAAGAGATTCTGGGCCTCATTGAGTCTCCGGTCCTCCCTGAACAGGGTACGAACAACCAGTTGCCTTTCCGAGGCATCAGTGTCCTCACCATGTTCTTGCAAGTCATCCAAATGTTGGCACAGCATACGAAAGTCCCATTTCGCCGTGTGTGCAGGTGGTTGAAGTTCTGACCCAATCGTCTTTGACACCTTGATTTGCTTGAGAATGGTGCTGACATCGGTGCGGTTGACCAGCTTGAGCAGCTCAGGGGGCCAAGACAAAGGTGGGTTTGGCTGACAGATGAAGATGAAGTCTTGTAAGGGAGTCAGAATGGCTTCTGGTAACGTCTCGAGGACTTGGGGAGTGAAACCGGCGGCATGCATGGCTGCCACTGCTTCGAAACGATCCTTGGCTGACTTGAGGAGCTCAAAGAGCTTCCGGAACATGAAGGTGCGTGGGGTCAGGTCACGCCAGGCCCTCTCCCTCGGACTGCGTCCACGAACGTCCGACGTGGCAGTAGCATAGACCTGGGGAAGCGTGAGGAAATCGGGACCACCATCGGTTGTGAAATGCTGCCGAATCCAGGTCAAGACACAAGAATTGAAAACGGGTGGAGGTATGGCCAATCGGGCAAGAGGAGCTGCGAAACCGGTCAGTCAAATGAACCTGGTGCCGTGAACCCATGAACATACCTGAATCATCGGTGTCGAGATCTGCCTGAAGACCGAGGCTGTAGAGCTCCTCGTACTGCAGCCATCCAAGCCATCTCGCAAGCTGCCAGAGCAGCGCCCTGAGATCACTGTGGCCTGGCGAGACTTCTTCAGGAGACAAGACACTCAATGTCTGCTCTTCCACGAGGAGGTGAAGCGCAAGCATCATACTCCAGGCTGCCTTATTGCGACTATCGCGATCTCTCTCGACGGCTGTTGGAAGGTAGCCATTAACACCAAACGCTGCCATGCCTTCGGCAGATGCGATGTAACCTTTTGCAAGCTCGATATGACGCGCCATGAAGCTTGGTGGCTGCGTACCTTGGCTGGATGGGATAGTGTCGAGAAGGCTGTCCTCCAACAACCACTGCCAGCCCCTGTTTTGCATCCACGGGGCATTGGCAGATGCCACCGGGGTCGTGTACAGCTCCATGGCCTCCCAGTTACTCTTCGGTTCAAGAACTCGGACACCACAACCCAATCTGGCCAACGATGTTTCGTCCGTGTGCCCGAGGGCCATGAAGCTCGCCAGTAATAATACAACCAGAGAAGACCATTCTCGGTCGTTGGTGGTACTATTCGCTTCCTGTTGGTTCAGAACTCTAAGCCACTGTGTGGTATGCCACCAACCGGCCAGCAGTCGATCTGCATGTGAAGGAGGAAGAACACTTCGGCAAGCGTCCAAGGCCTTGCGAACCTGGGGAGAGGATGGGCGAAGCTTGACATGAATGCGATGAAATGCGCCGTTCTTGTCCATTAGATCGACGACTCCACGGGGAGAGCTGTGGCACAATGCATCGACGCGGATCTGGGAGAGGCGAACTCCCTCTGATTTGTTTACCACCGACGGCGTATCTGTTGTATGAGTCCCCGAGTAGCTCAGGTTGTTGACATCGTCAAGAAGAAGGAGAGTCGCGTCAACAGTGGTGAGCTGGCTCCATGGGGATTGCAGACTTAGCTCCCTGCCACCAGCCTTGTCTTCGGAGAGAATGAGTATGGTCTGCTCATTTCCATCCGAGATCTTGCACGAGTCGATGACGTTTTGCGCCCGTCGAAGTTCACTAAAAACCAAGGGAGCTTTGGAGGAGAGTCCTGACGTGGCTGGCTCGACAGTGGACCCTGGGACGGGATGCGGAACATGCAGAGTCAGGAGCTGCAACCTCTTGTCGACGACGTCCTGGATTCCAAGAAGAATCTGGACACGACCCTGCTCGTCAGTGGCAGTAGGGGGGCCGACGAGAATGAACACTTTGGACTGCGTCTTAGCCGGTTTGTCGGCAAGAGAGTAGCGGACGTTGGCGTTGTCCATGGGAAAGCTGTGAATTTTTCTGAAGAGCATTTCGTGGGTTAGCCCTTCGAACTCATGATCATCCAAGCCCATATTGTGGAAGCCCTCAAAGTCACCACCAGCACGGAGCTCCTCAAGCAAAGAGTCGACAGGCGCCTCGGCTAGGCTGTTGAGACCATGGTTGAAGGAAGTGCCCAGATGTAAACCGCCGTAGGCACTGCTCATGCGTGTCCGTTGACTGCCTAGTGAATCTCCCCTTCTACCTCCATGCACCGCATGTAGTGTTTGCTCGGAGAAACTCGCCCTCTCCTGGGATGCGGACAAGTCAGCCCTGGCCAACAGAGAGCTTACGCGACGAGACTGTCTGCGGGCAGCGTCATCAGTTCTCTGGGGGTCTAGAGAATTCAAAACACCCTCGAGCGCCCGACCCTTGTCCTTTTCTTTTTCCCGCTCATCGATCCTGACACTTTTGCGAGGCTTCTTGCCGGGCAGAGGAGCACCGAAGCTATCTCTAATGGAGGGATGGACCGGGGTGCTGGCACCGCTGGGCATGCCGGGAGCCATGGAGCTGCGCCTGCGAGTCGACTTGACGGGTTTCTTCTTCCTTTTGCCAATGAAGGGATCTTCGTTTTCCAGAAAGGTCAAGCGCCAGACGCTGTACATGCTGTTTTCTCTGTTAACGGTAACAGCAATGCAAGTCTCACTTTGCGAGGCAGAGGCATAGCCGGGTATTTCGATTGCTTCGACATGGACAATCTCTTCGGCTGGACTGAGAAAGTTGGAGGCGAGAGAGACTCCTTGACGTCTCTTGTTTGTCTTTTTGTTTTCCGGGTGGGTGACTATCAAACCGATCTCGAGCAAGGGGTCCGTCAAACACACAAGCCGAGGCCAAGGACTGTCGGGGGTCTCCATGGGTGGTTGCCACATGTTTTCCAAAGTGTTGCTCAGCTTCAAAGGGAGCGCCTTGGGTCGTCCCAGGCCTTCGATGGAGAATTCGGCGCCGGTTTGGCTGAAGATGGACGAGGGCTGTGACGAGACGAAGGAGTTTGGCGGAACCTTGGGCAGTCGCAAGGTAACGGGCAGGGTATTGTTTGCTCGCTGTTTCCGTTGGATGATGACGCCAACGGGAGCGGCGCAGGCCGACTCGACCTCGAAGGGCATGTGGACGACATGGCTGGTTCCGGAGAGGAAGTAGATGTGGGCTTGGGTCTTGAGAAAGACGACGAGGGCTCGGGCGAGAGGTGGTTTCGCGTCATGCTTTTCGGTCGTGGGCTGCGAAGGGGCAGCGCTGACGATGGGGTGGGAGTCGGTCGAGGTAGGGAAATATGTGAGGAGAGCCTGGGTGACTTTCTCGTTCTCGATGTCGAACCTGAAGCTCTTTCGAAAGATGCCGCCGCGAGACCAGATGACGCAGGTATCGGTGGTCAACAGCTCGTCTTCACACTCGGCGTGAGCCTGTCGGTCGACAAATATCTCCCAACTGTAGGACGAGAAGGGAGGGTTCGGAGGGAGGAAGCCTTCGTCGATGGCATATCGCAGTCCGATGGGCTGGTGAACTCCCAACGAAGTGGCCGCCGCCATGATGTCGTCAAATCACTTGGTCGTAAGCTGGGGAGGAAAAAGAGTCAAGCCATTTTCCAGATTGGCGCATAGTGTGTCCAGTCTGAAGCTGAGTGGTCGGGTCTTGGTCGAAGCTGGCGCATTCGGTCTTTCTGTCTTTTTTGTTTTGTTTGGGAAGGAAAAGTCAACACAAGGTGGGAGGGATTGAGGGGGTACCTATTGCATTGCATTGCATTGCGCTCTCCGAGTCAGCACAGCAGCGTCAACACTACCTACCTTACCTACAGTACTGTACTACTGGAAATCGCGTCTGATAGCGCTGTGAGACGCGATTCAGTTGCCCTCTCCACTTGTGTCCCGCACGTAGGTAGGCGGGTAGCTGGGGCAGCTCCCTCTCCACAGAGGAAGTGGCTCTGGATACATGGTCTGTGCTTGATGTACACTCTCATTGTCAGGTACCTAGAGCAAAGGTAAATTATGTACCCATGCTGAAGGTACCCGATGTGGAGCTTCCAAGTGACGGCTGCGCTAAACGCATATGCCAGATGTTCACCCTTTGGCCACGAGGCTGATATCCCGCTGCCTAGGTAGGTAGGTAGGTAGACACATGGGAAGGGATGTGTACCTATCGTCTTTTCTCTGATTGAAAAGCATGACTACCACGGATCTCACATCTTCATACGAGTTTCCGGTCTACCTAATCTGACCTGCTTGTCGCCATTTCACGCCAGGCCTTTCTTTGAGCGAGCTTCTAGCATAAGCGTTTACCACTTTGACCCTGTCCTTACTGACGTAGCGGTCCTCCACTCCCCCTCCATCCGTTCCCGGCTCTGGAACCGACCGACAGCGACAACAAAGCCTCCACTAGGTTGGTTGCAGCACAGGACTGGGGACATTGAAGCTAGCCTAGGCCTAGGAACCCAACGAATAGCGCCTTACCATAGGCGCAACCAACTCCATTCTCTTTCCAACAACTTTGCGATCAATCAGATCCGTCACCAGCTACGCCATGATACTACAGGCGATCCGGCTCCAATCAACATGACGCAGGTCCCGCCGGAGACAGGCGACTCTGCCGACACCACGCCCGCTCCCACCACCGTGACGTCTCCCAGGGCGCGGCCCAAGCGATCCATTGGCAGCAGCATCATTGGCACCACCACCACCTCGACGGCGACGGCGACAGGAACGGGCACAGATGGAGAATCCGGCATCTCGGTAGAGGAAGGGTTGGAGGTCGATGGGGGCCGTGCAGATGGGGAGGAGGAAGAAACCGAGGATGACGACGAGGATGACGACGAGGACGACGACGACGATGAAGAGGAGGAGGAGGAGGAGGAGGAAGACGAGGAACCAAAACTCAAATACGCCCGGCTCACTGAACACCTCGGGCCTCTGTATCGCAATGGCGACGCCACAAGCGCCTTCTTGACGGCTGGCGACAAGATGGTCAGATAGACTCCATGGCGATTCTCGAGGTACACATTGCGACAGCTGCTGACTTGTGATGGCTACCCCAGATCGTTGGAACGCATAACGGCAACATCCACGTCCTCCAACTGCCCGCCTTCCAGTCCCTGCGCGTCTACCATGCCCACAGCGCCTCCGTCACCAGCCTCTCCATCTCGCCCTACCCACCCCCTCTCCCAACCTTCGACCCAAAACCTCTCACCCGAGTCTTCTCCCAAACAAACAGCCCCCTGCGGCCTGCTAGCGCATCCACCGAAAGCCACCACCAGACCAACCCAGCCTCCGCCGCACGCAAACGAGACGCCCAGGCCCATGGAGTCCCCAATACCCCCTCCAACAACATCCACATCGCGACCTCCTCTATGGATGGCAACGTCTGCGTCCAGTCTCTGATCGACGTCAAGGATGTTACTCTGCGCAACTTTGCCCGACCCGTACAAGCTGTTGCTCTCTCTCCCGATTACAAGAACGACAGGACCTATCTGTCTGGCGGTCTGGCTGGACAGCTCATCCTGACCGTCGGCGCCCCACAGGGCAAGAGTACGGCCACTACGACAGGAGCCGCTGCTCAGGCGGCAGGATGGCTCGGGAACATGGTGGGCGCAGGGTCCGGCAAGGACACCGTTCTACACTCGGGTGAGGGCACCATCAACACCATCAAGTGGTCTGGATCCGGGAAATATGTCGTCTGGCTGAATGAGCATGGTATCAAGATTATGAGGACGAAGCTCCATCTCGAAAGCGCCGATCAAGAAGATGCATGGAAACGAATTGGTCATATTGATCGCCCGCAGACAGAGGAGTGGGATACCATGGCCAGCGTCTGGAAAGGTCGTGCCGAGTGGATTGACGAGCAGTCCATCGAGCCTGATGAGCCGGGCAAGGGTCAGAAGGAGGTGCCGGCTTCTCCTGCGGCTGCGATCCTGAAGCAGCAACACCAGAAGACTGAGAAGAAGGTGGAGAGATTGCTGGTGGGATGGGGAGGCACCATATGGTTCATTCACGTCCACCCTGGCGGCATGGGCGTCGGCAAACACGCGGGAGAAAGGTCCGCTGGACGGGCAGAGATTGTAAAGCTGTAAGTGTGCTCTTTCTGCTGTGTTGCCGACCACGCTGACCCAAACTTCTCCAGACTTCGCATGGACTGCATCATTTCCGGCATCTCTCTATATACCCAAAACTTGTTATTAGTGCTCGCATACTGCTTACCAGACGAAAACGAGGACGAAGAAGATGACAAAGTCGTTCCGAGTCATAAACACGCCGCATCAATAGCATATGGAGCAAGCCACCCATCCGGCGGGATCAAGCGCAGACAAAACAACCCGCCACCAGAACTGCGCCTGATTGATCTCACCTCCCAGGTCGAGATTGACAAAGACGGATTGAGCGTCAGTCGATTTGAACGCTTGACTGCCAGCGATTACCACCTCGGAGTTCTGCCGGCTCGCAATGTGGCCGCCTCTGCAGCCAGCAAAGGCACCTTGGAGACTTTGGCTGGCTTCGGTACCGACATGCTCAACGTCGGCCTGACCGGCCTCAACGTGGCGCTGAATCCCAAGTCTCTCTTCAGCTCAGGCGCCAGCATCAAGAGCAGAGAGAGCGACGAGGCGCCTTCGAACTACATGGGAGGGATTAACTCGGCATTGAAGGGCGGACATCGCACAGCTATCCATCAAAACCTCAACAAACCCGGCATCAAGATCTTCATCCACAGCCCGTACGACTGTATCCTGGCAACGAAGAGAGACCTGGCCGACCACCTTGGATGGTTGCTAGAACGCCAGCAGTACAGACAAGCATGGGAGCTGGTCGACGAGCACCCGGAGATTGTGTCTGCAACTGACCGGGCGTCCGAGCTGGGCGGCTCCGAGACTCCCGACCGAGCCCAAAACGATGACTTTGACGATGAGACCTCCTCTGTCATCGACGGCCTGCGCAGCCACTACTCTCTTGCTGAAAAGGAAAAACGACGCATAGGCGAACTCTGGATCCACGAACTAGTCGAAGCCAATGACTGGGCCCAAGCCGGCCAGATCTGCGGCAAAGTCCTCGGCACCCCTGACCGCTGGGAGAAATGGGTCTGGACCTTTGCCGGCGCCAACAAGTTTGATGACATTGTCAACTACATCCCCACCGAGCGAACACGGCCGCCCATCCCCGGAACCATCTACGAAGTCGTGCTAGGCCATTACCTCCAGGTCAGCAAGCCCCGGTTCAGAGAGCTGCTGGAACGATGGTCGTCGGATTTGTTTGACGTTGCCACCATAACCACGGCTCTGGAGAACCAGCTCAAGTACCGTGATGTCCGAGAGGACAGCGTCGAGGATGGCGAGGTCGGAAGAGATTGGCGCATCGTCATGGAGAGTCTGGCCAAGTTACACGAGGCTAGCGGGCGGACCAAGGAGGCGCTCCGATGTTACATCAGGTTACAGGATGCGGACTCGGCGATGCGACTGATTAAAGATGCGCATCTGGCCGAGGCGGTGGCGGACGATATTCCCAGCTTCATCGGCCTCCGCGTTCCGCAGGACAAGCTCCTCAAGATGTCCAAGGAAGATCTTGAGCAGGCTACTAGTGAGGCCATCTCGCTGTTGGTCGACGAGGCGCAGCATGGCTTGGTGAAGCCGGACCTTGTGGTGTCGCAGTTACAGGAGAAGGACTTGAAGCTCTACACATTCTTCTACTTGCGAGGTCTCTGGCGTGGTGAAGGCATCCACGAACACACGCACGAGTCTCTAGCTCGTCTGGTCCTCGACAGCCGCACCATGGTAGACCAATTTGCTGATCTGGCTGTCCACCTCTTTGCCATTTACGACCAGCCACTGCTCAACCAGTTCTTGAGGACATCGACAGCATATGCCTTTGAGAAGGTTAGTTCTCCCTGTCTCCCATGTCCCTTGCCCCTCATTTACTGACCGTTTTGTGCCCCAGGCCGCCCAAGAATGCGAAAGCCGCAACTATATCCCCGAGCTCGTCTACCTCTACTCCAAGACCGGCCAGGTGAAACGAGCGCTCTACCTCATCATTGAGCGCCTCGGCGACGTCTCCCGCGCCATTGCCTTTGCCAAGGAACAAGACGACCCCGATCTGTGGGAAGATTTGCTCGAGTACTCCATGGACAAACCCAAGTTCATCCGCGCCCTGCTTGAGGAAGTGGGGACGGCTATCAACCCCATCACACTTGTGAGGAGAATACCTGAGGGGCTACAGATCCCTGGCCTGAGGGAAGGTATACGGCATATCATGAAGGAGCATGAGATCCAATACTCTATCTCGGAAGGCGTCAGCCGCGTGTTGAGGAGCGAAGTTGCAGCGGCTATGAACACACTGCGGAACGGCCAGCGCAAGGGCGTCAAATTCCAAGTTGGCGTCAGGGAAGGAGGCGAACACGTGGACGTCCAGCCTACGGATATCCCGACGCAACCCTTGACCGAGAAACCTTCCTCCTCCGGCCTCGCCTCCCCAGCCGCTCCATCGCAGCAGCCACCACCAACCCCGTCAACACCAACCCACCGCCGCCCCAAATTTGCTGCGAAGAAGTACCAAGCCGGCCACTGCGCCCAATGCCTCTCCCCCTTTACCACGTACGAAACAGACACGCTGGTCGGCTTCGCTTGCGGACACGTGTTTCACTTGCCGCATTTACTGGAAGCGTTGAATCCGGGGAAGACGGTCGATGCCGATGTGTTGTTGGGAGGTATGGGAGCAGAGGAAAGGAGCGCTCATTTGGTTGGGGCCAAGGTGACGCATGCGAGATTGTTGAGGGATCGGATCGTTGGCGGTTGTGTTGTTTGCAAGGCTGCTAAGGAGGAGGAAGGGGAGGGAAGATGAGGTACCCGTACAAAAGCTCCCGGGAAAGAAAGGGACGAGGGACAAGATTTTGCAGTGTGCATTCAATGTTATGAGCGATGATTATTCTTTGAGAGAAGGTTTTGGTTAAAGGATAAGCAACGGGTCGATGTCGGAGCTTTGTGGGAGAATGGATGAGAGGAAAGGAGACGGGTATACTTTGCACGCATTGACGGCTCAATACGCGTGCGGACCGGGACATATGTTATGATTATGAATATAGATATGTTGATGACTTGATAGGAGCTAGCAAGCTTGTTTTCTACGTGCATGTCGTCTGATTGATGTGTGGTGGCGTTTGTTGACATTAATATAGCGAAGGTTAGAAGTAAGCTTACACCAGCCTTGTCAGGCTTGAATTTGGTTGAACAGACGTTCCTTTGCTACTAGATATCTCCAATCTTCCCTTGTAACTCTAACCTAAGGTCAAGAACAGAGGGTGAAGGGAGGTAAGATGGAGTAGTTCCAAGCAAACAAAACAAGTGAAATTAGACGGAATACGTTGGAATCTAGGTAGGAGTGACAGAGTTCTGTTGGTTAGGAAATCTGAGGTTGAATTAGGGGAGGCAGATGTTGTGTAGCGAAACGGAAAAGCGGGTAATTGTTAGTATGTATAACACGCCATTGGTCAACAACCGGCCTTATCTCACTTGATACGCAAGTAGAGTGAACCTGGACGGGAACGTCTGCAGCCGCTGTCACGATGGGGGAGTAAAGGATACTGTGGCACTTCCAAGCAAAAGGAAACTCCAGTGAGATGGTGCGATTGATTGTACAGGAAGGGCCGATGGGGGAGTTGCACAAGAAGGTTCATGCTGCAGGCATGCTTCGGGGGAGGTAGGAAGTCCCCTCGACATTTCTGTGGCCGTCGTTGTCGGGCTAGGGCCGACTCGACGAATTCAGTTCTTATTGGTAACTGAAGCCATTCGGCTGGTGTTGGCGCACCATGGACACTCGGGGTACCGAAAAACGAACGCTCCAAGAAGTTCAAGTTGCTGGAAGAATTTGCTTTCAACAAATGGTACCTTCCGTTGCGTTACACTTACTACTACCTTCAGCCCCAGGTCATTCGATGTACCCCGCTCCCTTTGAGGGCTGACCTTGGCATTTCCAGCACCTTCGACACCTCCCGCTGTCGAGTATTTAACCAGGTAGGTACCTACCTCTTGGGGGGTTCTAGGTACCAATCTTTCTTTCCACACTGAAAGGTTCGACACCCGCCTGCCATCCCCCAAGTATCAGCTCCGTGCCTGCCTCTCACCAACCATGCAACTAACTTTTCGATTCCAGATCCACTTTGCACACCAGACCAAGTGCGCTCAATGCCTAGGTCCTTACTATTGCCTACGGTACTGTCCGTCGCCCTACACAACAATGGAAACTTCACAATTAGGCCAGTCGGAAGGGCCTCCTTACCCCTCGTTCAAGGAGCTTAAATACGAGGATGTACGTGTTCGCTTCTCTCCCGCTACCGAGCGACTCTTTTGGGAGCTTGATGGTGTCTTCCCCACCGCGATATCCGTGATGAAGGACAAGCGCGGTGCAAAGGATGATCTGGAACCATTCTTCCGATCAGACACTGGCACATGGCACGAGATCTCACAGCTGCCCCTTACCGAACCAAAGGTCTCGGCTCTTGAGGTTTCAGTCCACGACGTCAATGAATTGGAGTACCGTTGGATGCGTTGCCATGAGGACCACGATATGCCCCAGGACCTCTATGGTCAAGAATACGTCACCTACGGAGATCTTGACGACGATATCCGGCCTTACGCGAAGGAACCCAAGGAGGACGGCAGCTGGGAGGAGGACTCGGACACAGAGTTTCTCATCAAGTGCTGTGGAGAGGACAGACCGCTTGGGAAGAGAGAGCTGGAATTGGTGGTTACGGCTTCTCAATCAGCAGGCAGCGAATCCTTTGTTACAATCCGTGACTTTGTTAGTGGCAAGTACACTTATCTCTCTACCAAGTGCCGCGTTCGACTCTGCTAACTATGATTACAGCCGTTCATCCCTGGGTTATGAGCATGCGCGGAGATATCCTTAGAGCGAAGGATCTCTCATATGAGAATGCCCATATACCGGCGGAGGAATACGAATGGATGGTAAAGGTGAAATACCATTGTGTGGAACCACTCGAGATATGGGAAAAAAGGGATTGGGTTGAGAGCCATAGCCCGCCTGGTCCTCGAAGGCATCCTCTACCTCCCTCGTTGGTAGCGATCCTCGAGCAGAGACGTGTAATAAGGGAAGCGGGCATTCTATTATAGGGCTAACTTGTAACTGTCATCTGGTCGCGGCATCACCACGGCTATAGTTGCCGGTAGTTTCTATTACTTAACCTCCGTCGACAACGCTTCAGCGGACCCGCCCTACAAATATGTGGGTCGACCGCAAAAACGGGTGGGGTAGGGTGGGTTTTGGAGGTTAAGTAGGTTTAAAAACTAAGACTAGGTTGCCGGTTAATATACGCTCTCTGATTGGCTGATCCGTTTAGTCTCAGTTCTTAGACCCACTTAACCTCCAAAACCCACCCCACCCCACCCGTTTTTGTGGTAGCAGGTCTAAGCGGGTTTTGCGCTTTTTGGCCGTCGGTTGTAGAAGAATAACTAAGTATTATTATCTATTAAAAATCCAGTAAAATTACGAAAAATTAAAAAAATATTCTTTTTATAGAGCTTTTTATTCTGAATTTAAAGGTAGTCTTAGTTTTCTTCTACAATTAATATCTATCGAAATACAAGGCTTTGAACTTAAAGACTTTTACCCCTTCAAGGCTGCATTACTTTAACGGGTGGTCTGTGCTTTATGAAAGTGGTATCATTAGAACCGCCTCATCAAGACCATCCTCAACGTGTATTTAATTTTTTTATTATCTCAAAAATAAGGTTAAAAATGGAATAAATTTAAAAGTAAAAAAATATAATATTACACCCTCGAGGTTGTATTACCTTAGCGGCTGGTCCAAGCGTTATAAAATTAATACTATTGGAATCGTCTTATTAAAACTATCCTCAGTATATATTTTCTTTAATATATAGTTAAGAATAAAGCCTAAAATAAGGAGTATCCAAAGTTCTAAAAGTAATTATAACCGACGAAGGTTTATCTTTAAGGTTGCATTACTATAATAGGTGGTCCGAGCGTTATAAAAATTATATATTTAGAAAGAGCTTAAAAAGACCATCCTTAAAATACCTTATTATTATTTATATTAATTTTCTTTATTTTATTATTAAAAAGTATATAAAAATAAAATTTGGAATTTATATAGGAAATTTTACAACTAATAGCGTTTTTATATAAAATTATAATAAACCTCCTTTTATAAAAGTTCGAGGAGGAGAGACTTATATATTTGTAGGGCGGGTCCGTTAAAGCGTTATTAATAAAAGTTAAATAATAAAAATTATAATTCGTTTAATTTTACTACTATTATAGTAGCTATTAAGCTTACGCGGGCTCTCCTTTAATTAATTATATATATAAGTTATTTGCTGCTTAGGGTTTGGATATTTCTCGCCTTTGGGTTTCCTAATTGGGATTTTTCTCCCCCCCCTAACTTCCCAATTGGGATTTTTCTCGCCTTTCTCGCTTCCCATTAGAAGATAGGTGGGGAAAACTCCACTCTGCCTACACGTTAATTCTAATATTTGTAGTAAAATAATTTCCAAACGTAATAAAACTTACGAAAATATATTGAAATGGAGCAAAAACCACACCAACACGAAAAGCACCCTGCCACACCTAAATGTAGTAAGGAGTAGATCTGGAGTTGGATATGGCTTTCGTCCTTAGGAATTAAGATAGAGTAGTAAAGTTACAACTTATTAACTACTATTAAAGACCAATAAGAAGAATAAGATTCTCCTTATTAATCTTAAGTTGGCTAAATAGGTTTAGAAGTTAATTCTTTTATAGAAGGGTTATTGGGCTTACTATTACGAGGGCGTTCGATGGTAATTCTGTAGTGTAGGAGTGGGATTTTTTAGTCTATTTTTAAGGATAAGTATTATTTAATTTAATTTAGAATGTTTATCCTTCCTCTCTCCTCTTAATTAGAATCTCCTCCTTATATCCCTTTTTTATTTATTATATTCCTAGGGTCCTATCCGATTAGTATAATAAATTTATTCCTTAATAAGTAATAAGCTAAGGCCTAGATACTTTTATTTATTATTTAAAAGTAAGAGTCCAAAGTAAAGAAAAGAAGAAAGTATAGAGAAAAATAAAAAAACAAATAAACTACCCTATATTATACTTCCCTTTGAATATTCTTTTATAATACTTTACAAGAATATTTATATACTAATAACCCTACTATTAGTAAAAGTAAATATAATAATATAAACGAAGTAAATCTATTAACACCGCTTCTTTTTATCCTATATAACCTTCCGAATTCTTATTTTTTCCTCCTTCGCCTTAATCTTCTTCTTTTCCTCTACTTCTTTCTTAACGTTCCAAATCAATATTTTATAAATTCTTAATATTCGTTATACTTCTTCTATATTAATATTATTAATAGTAGGAATATTCTATACTACTTATTTATCTAATATTAGTATATATTAGTATTCTATAATTAACCTCCCTTTCTTTTCTCCCTTAGCCTTTCTTCCTAGTAGGTATAAATCCGCCTTCCTCTTTTTAAATAAAACGAAATAATTAATAATGAATCTATTGTATAAGTTGAATAACTCTACCTATTTATTAATTTTATAACTTTTTGCCTATTTAATTACTTTTAATTTCCGTAGGGGCTTTAGAAGTATTTTATTCTCTAGAGAGGAAGAGATCTAGTATTATAATATAGTAGGTCTATTTATATATTTATCCTCCTTACTTTCGTCTTTATTATTTTTATAACTATTAATTAATATATTTCTAATATTCTCTACCTCTAGCCCTTCGAATATTAAGAATTTCTTTAATTATTAGACGCTTTAAATATAAATTAATAAATTATAGAGGGCGAACGGGTTTCTTAGGTATTTTTATATAATATCGTCGTTTTTTATAAATTTGGGTTCCTAAAGATCTCCTTTTACCTTAATCCTTCGGTACTATATTATTCTATACCTTACTTTATACTATAAATCTATTCTCTATTCTTAATTTATAAAAATTATTAATAATTTAATCTATAATATCTTTAAATAATTATAGACTATCTTTATTTATTAGTAAATTATAGCTTCTTCTAGCCACTTAAAATTTAATAATTATATCTAGGGTTTCCAATAATTAAATTACTCTTAAATATATAGTTTAATATAAGGGATTATCCGTCTATTAAAGTACTAATCTATTCTCTTTATATCTAGAAAGAAAGTCCTGGCTATTTCTAATACTTAGAAACTATATAGCTATATAATTGCTTATTAAAGGAATTTACAATTATTAAAATATATTTTAATACAAATTCATCTTCTTCTATTAATAAAGTATCTATAATTCGCTAATACGAATATGCTATAAGCTTTCAATATTTCCTATATTCTAGGTTTATGCTTTATTGTGTAAAAATAATACTATATATATTCTAATTGGTTAAAGATAGTTAAAGAAAAATATTTATCTTTATAGATCGGAATATATTATTACTTCGTTAATAATAAAAAGGCTTCTTTTATTAGTCTAATACTTATTAAATATAAATTCTCTAATTTATTTTTAGTTATTATTTAAATAGAGGAAGGGATATAAATCTAATTTCTATATATTTTAAATAATTAAGTTAGGTTTATACTTATAGTTACTCTATCTATCTAACCCTTAATATAAGTAGTATACTATAAGTTTACTATTCTTATTATATATTTATACTAGGTTATTCAGTCTAGTTAGATTATTATTAACTAATCCTTTAGAGGAAGGAGATCTATTTTAAGTATTATATTATATAAATTAATATTTAAAGTATTGAATATTAATTCGAATAGTATTATTTAATCCTTATTTATTAAATTATTATTTAAATATTTAGGTAATCTCTAATTAAATTCTAGGTTAAAGTTCTTTAACGTTTTTTCCTAAGGGGGGTAGACCTTTCTAAGTCCTAAAATAGTATTTTACTAATTAATTGCCTCTTTTATCTATTGAATTCTATAATTTTTAGTAATTTCTCCTTATTTTTCTTCTAGTACTATTACTATAGAATAGAATAATTTAGAAGTAATAGAGGGCGAGGTAGGGTAGGATAAGATAATTAATAGTAAGGTAGGGATTTAGGCCGGTAATATAAGGTCTTTATTATTACTTTCTTCTTTTAAAGTAAAATACTACTTGTTTATAATAGGATTCTTAATAAAATCGGCTTTGCGGGTACCTTTAATAGGAATTTAAATTAGTAAGATTTTTTCTCTTTTTTTAAGGGTTGGATTTATATTAATTAAGTAGGTTGCGAATAATAATATATTTTTTAATACTTCTTTGTTATTATTTTCTTAATTTACTAAAGGTGTATTCTCTTTTTACGGGGTTTTAAATAGATTTATTTTAAGTAGTAATATATTCTTCGACAATTTTTTATCCTTCTTTAAGGTTTTCTTATTCCTCTTAAAATCTTTAAAACTTTTCTTATCCTTATCGTCCTTAATAGTAAATTAAATTATAGGAATCCGGTAAAATTCAATTTTTATACCTTTATTTTTACCCTTTTAAAATTTTATTACTTTTTTAAATATATTTAAATTATTAAAGATTATAATAAATTTAATAGTAATATTCGCTTTCGGCTATTTCTTTTTCTTTAATTTAGGAGAAATAAATAATTGCCGGATAGTAATCCGCTCCCTATTATTGTTTTCTAAGGTCCTAATAGCTAATTTCGCCGAATACCTCTTAAGGCGGTCTATTTTCACTCTCTATATAATTACGTTCTTTAAGGTTAAAATTATTATAATCTCTTTCTTTTTAAATTTTTTAAAGGGTCTTTCGAAGGAGAATACCTTTAGAGCAATCTCTAAAATATTTAATATTATTAAAGAAGGGTATTTTTTAAAGTAATTAGAAATATTAGAATAAAAGGGTATTATTTAGGAATAAAAGGGAAATAATTTATTTATTATATTATTATCCTTAGAAGGTAAGAGGCTTTTCTTTATTAATTTACTTTTAAGAGTAGTAGGGGGTTAGAAATCTCCGGACGCATTTATTCTATAGGTATTATAATAGTAGTTTAATATAATTCTATAACCTTCTTCAATTTTCTAAATACTACTTTAGTACTAATTTATTAGGAGAGTATATTATAACGTATTTATTT